AGCAAATTTAATCACCGCCGAACCCAACAACTAGCTAGGCATTAATCGGTCATCGTCGTCGAATCACATAGCAGCAACCGAAATCGCCGCCGAACCCAACAACTACCGAAGACACGCGCCATGATTGATCCTCACCTTTTCACCGCACGACGACCATCACCAGGCTCCCAATTGGGGGCATGGGTCATACAGCCGGTACGTGCGTTGTTGCGGTGCCTCCTCGCCAATCAAATCGGGTTGTACATAGCAGCAAATTTAATCACTGTCGAACCCAACAACTAGCAAGGCATTAATCGGTCATCGTCATCGGATCACATAGCAGCAACCGAAATTGCCGCCGAACCCAACAACTACCGAAGACACGCGCCATGATTGATCCCCACCTTTTCACCGCACGACGACCATCACCAGGATCCCAATTGGGGGCGTGGGTCATACAGCCGGTACGTGCGTTGTTGCGGTGCCTCCTCGCCAATCAAATCGGGTTGTACATAGCAGCAAATTTAATCATCGCCGAACCCAACAACTAACAAGGCATTAATCGGTCATCGTCGTCGAATCACATACCAGCAACCGAAATCGCCGCCGAACCCATCAACTACCGAAGACACGTGCCATGATTGATCCCAACATTTTCACCGCACGACGACCATCACCAGGCTCCCAATTGGGGGCATGGGTCATACAGCCGGTACATGCGTTGTTTAGATGCCCTCGCCGCTTGTAGAGTCAAGAAGACAACCAGGCACTCCTGATTATGGACGCAGTGGCATCACATTATCCCAATCGAGCCGCAAGAGACCCGACAGTTCCGATTATAGCCACCACGACCATCCCCAGGCTCCCAATCGACATCAATAACCCACAATTGGATGGTACTGACACGCATTTTTTTCGGGAGCGTACGACAACTGGACAATTCCGATTATAGCCGTAGTGGCATCACATTATCCCACCGAACAAGGGTCTACACGAAGCCGCAGCTTATGGCATATCCCCTCGCCCGATAGTTCCGATTATAGCCACTACGGCATCACATTATCTCGCCACACACAATCACCGCCGATCCTGACAAAAATACGTGCCACAAGAACGCGTTATTTTATGGCGCCTAGAAAACGATCGGGCAATTCCGATTATAGCCGTAGTGGCATCACATTATCCTAATCGAACAAGGGTAGGTTAGCTGCGGCATATCCCCTTGCCCGACAGTTTCGATTATACCCACTACGGCATCACATTATCTCGCCACACACAATCGCCCCTAGAAACCACAAATAACGCATCCTATGAAGTGCAACGGGGGTCGTAGGCCACCTGCGAAGCAAGCAGCCTTTGCACCTTTGTACCCTCAAAGACCACCTTACCCCCTATAAAGGGGTTTTTGGCCACTTTACCTGTGGAGCCAGTAGACATTAAAAAGCTAAGATTTACACAACCCTTTAAATGACTTTATAATTATGTAAAAATTATATAATTAGGTGTAAAATGATTATTTGTGATGTGGAAATTGTTGAAAAAAAAAAATTTGAATTTTTTTTATTATTATTAAATTAATTAAAAAATAATAAAAAATGAGAAAAAATAGAAAAAAATCATAAGAAAATATAATAAATCCTAAAAAATTATAAAAATGAATAATATTGAAAGATAAATATGAATTATTAATTTTGATAATTGAATATTTAATTAATATAAATTATTAAAATATTAAAAAATTAGGAAAAATTACAAAAAAATTATAAATAAATACAAGAGTATTATAAAATAGTTATAGATTGTTGGAAACGAACAAAAATAATCTGTGGAATGAATTCTCCGACAAGATCATCTCTTCCTCGAATATTTTCAACCAACAGACTCAATCGAGTTTAGTCCGACAGCATGGTCTTAATCAGACATCTAGTTTAGTTTGCATCCTACGTCTCGTTATGTCCGATGCCCGGACGTCGTTCCAAACGACTAGTAAGGCCATACTCTATTAACCGACACATTTTCCCGACTGATTAATCTCTATTCCACACTTGAGCACGCATGCCAGCACGCAAGCCAGCGCGCGGAGCACGCAGTGCGCAAGCACGCACACATTTTCCCGACCGATTAACCTCTATTCCACACGCGAGCACGAAAGCCAACACGCACACCAGCGCACGGGCATGCACGGCAGCGCGCGGAGCACGCACGTGATGAAGATCGCGTGTCCCGACTGCCGATAAGCCGCTTGCCCGCGCCTTGAATCGCCGATAGGTGCTTCTCGAGCCACAACCGCGCCTCTTGAAACGAATAAAATTGCAATAGATTCTTTGTGAAAAACTAAAGCAAAGTGTTTGAACCAAAGTTCAGAATTTTCTACTAACTACTAACTAAGACTATTCAAGATTCAATTCATCATTCTATCAAAAATAACAAGAGGGAAGGGGCCTTTATATAGGCACAAAATATGTCTAATCCTAATCTACCTAGGGAACTAATAAAGCAATAAAATATTAAGTAACCTAAA